TTGGCTCCGTTTCACAGCTGAGGAAAATCTGGGCCCTGAAAAAGCTAAGGAATTTGATCCATTACATGTAGCAAGTGTTTTACTGTGATGACAAACATCTATTCAATTATAAAACTTCCTGGGCCTTCTAATTCTGTGAATCTGCAGTTACTGGAAAGGTCAATGAAGGTAATTGAAAAGTTTATTTTAAGGTAATCATTTAGTTACCATTTGCCTCATCTCAGAGTATATCTAGGACTTAAAATTGATAGTGATACACAGGAGAAAGAGCTATTTGGGTTATTTCACTGTTTATGTCAAATAAGACTTTTAATACCAGATTTTAATCTATACCTTTTGCCATATAATTTTATCCTTTTAGTCATTTTTTGATGACTGTTCCTCCTATTGCCTTCAAGCCTGGCACTAGGATTTTAGGTCATCATAAATTAAAATTTGATTTTCTTCACTCAGAGAATATTGGGATAATGGGATTATCCGTCTGTTCTCTGAAATTTGCGGAATCAAACAAATTCCTTTTACCATTAAATAATATTACCATTATTTTTGATTTGTATTTTTTAAACAGCTGATGAAAGTAACAGGATTCTGGCAACTGTCCTATGGGGAGAAAGGACTATGTAGGTTAAGAAAAAAACCAGTTGTAACTTTTTGAGTTTACTCTTAATGGATTAGTAACTCATTCCAACAATGGTATCATTGTATCAGTAAAACAGTTAATACTGAGTTAGCAAGACAAGATTAAATTGTGTGGACAAACGTATAGTTTATTTAATGCACAGAAATGCGTATGTTTATGTGTTAGGTATCTCACTACTTCATGTTCCTAAATTCTCTTACATCCATAGGAATTGTCACTTAAATTGTTTTTATTGATGTTTTCCAGTATAGGGTGGGCATATCACAGCTGTTATTTGCAGTAGAAATTTATAACATTCTGAGATATCAAATGATTGAGAGCATTTGAATGCAGAAAAAGTGGAAAACATAAAAAGAGTTTTCAGCATTGTATACCATTCTTGTGATTATAAAATAGCCTCATGGTTTCTTGTTTGCATGTGTTCTTTTTTTTTTTTTTGTAGCCACAGCACCACAAGTTATTGTTCCTGATTCCAAGCTGATACAACATATGAATGCATCAAACATGGTAAGACTCAGAATGTAGCACTTTGATTGGCTCTGCTTATTCTAACCCAAATTGAGATTATGCCTATGTATATTGTATATTAACTTGAAGTTCATTGAAGATTTGAACAAAACAGCTATTTTATTTAGTTCTATGAATATTGGATTTAGTAGCAAATCTAAAGTTTAGCTTGCTACTTAGACATGAAGATTCATAAAATTGTGCAGTTCTTTGTTTAAAAATACCAAAGAAATGGTGCTTTGTGAGAGCTATTTCATCCCCTACTATGAAAAATAGGTTTAGGACCAAACCTATTATGCTAAGTATAGTTCTATTTCAGGAGACCTATTAATTGTAAGAGGTCAGGAATGCTAAGAATTGTAAACTTTTTAAAAATGAAGATGAACTATTTGGATAGTTCAGGACAGCTATTTTTAAAATGAAACATTTAAAAATATTTGCTCTGATTTAACCATAATATATAGCCTAATAAGTTTTTAGAATGTGTAAATTGCTACCTTAAAATGCATTTTAGCCAGTTGAATTACATTAGGATTTTGATATTTCTGAGCGATATCCACTGAACTTCACAAGTCCTCAAATTTTGAAATTGCACTTAGGGTATATAATATTTCTCATCAAATGTAGTTCAGTTAAACTGTAAAATTGAAAGAACCCCTTCAGATTCTTATATCCTTGAAGGTTTTTTTAATAAAATATTAAAATACAGTCTGATTAGAGTAGTTGTTCAATACTTTCTCATAAATGGCTTTTCTTCTGTTTAAAATATACAGACTATTTATTTCATAAAGTGGTATCTCAGCTCTGACATTTCATTTTTAAATTCAGACAAAACTTTAAAGGTGAGAATCATTATTTGTGAAAAGATCTCTTAGCCTTTGTAACTAATGCTAACAATGAGATTTTTTTAAGATTCAGATTTTTTTTAAACAAAAAGCAATATTCTTAAAAATCACTTCTACTTTGTTCAGTGATAAATAGTAAACCACAGAGCTCATTATGATTTATAAGCCAGATAGGAAGCAGAGCTCACCAACTAGACAGATGTCTTCCTCCTACATATTACTAGCCTCATAAATTCATACCTTGGCAGAATTGCAAGTTTCTACATGATAGTAGAAATTGCGATTTTTAAATTCACAAATATCAAGGATCTCTGCTTGTACTTGCAATTCAAGTTACTACAATCAGTTCTTTTGCATGAAAATCATAAAAATTGCATACCTTTCATTTCTCACAAGAATTTTTATTCAAAAAAATTCTACTTTAAGGCCCCAAGTTTCTTTTTAACCTCTATCCTTTAACAAAAAGTCTCAATATAGGGTCTATATTGCAGTTAGTGTTATTAAGACCATTTCCTTGGGAATAACTTGCATCATTGTAAAACAGAAATTTTGGCAATCACCTGTGGGTAGGCCTGTCTAATTTCTAAGAATTTTAAATGTTGTGGAAGAGAATTTTGAATTAATAGTGTGTTGATTCTGGTGTATCAGTGGTCCATCTCTTACTTAATGGTTGTATATCTTTGATTCAAAGGAGCATATATCTTTAAACAGATCATAGGTCAGAAATGTCATTCAGTAAAATGGATCAGCATTTATATGTATTTTAACATTTTACTTTGGTATTTTTTAGTCATTGTTGCATGTACTGAAACATAATCAATATAGGCTCTTTACCAATAAAGGTGTTTTGAGTTTTTGTTGGTTTGCATTATTATTCTTGGCTCAAAAATAATCAGTAAAAATAGTTTTAATTTTTCTAATGGTTCTGTGTGCTTTAGAAATGAACATAATTTCATGAAAATGCGGGATAGTGATAATATTAGACAGAAGGCTATTTCAGGGAACTTACTAAGATATCAAACCAGTGTTTCAGGTTCTTTTTATGAAATGCTTGGTCTAATGCATTATTCACGTTTGGGTTATTTCATATAATACAAGGAGACATTTTTAATGGTCATGAAATAAAAGATGGTTTGGTTATGATACATGACTCAACAAATATTTATTGAGCAACTTGAATGTGTGGAAGGTATGCAGGTGGTTATTGTGTCACGTATGCTGTATAGAAACTACTGTATCAGTTTGCCAGTAGAGGGAGATCTGTTATCTTACAAAATAAGAATTATATTATTAAAATTCCTAAATAATATTTCTCAATAATAAGTGGTTAATGTTTCTTAAACTTATATGACCTTTGGTTTGCCTATGTAGACAATGTTTATTTTAAATTGAATAGTTGGATATTTAACTTAAAGGTGGATGAACCTTGTGAATTATATTAATAGTTGGATTCTAGAGATACAGTGGAAGTTTTAGGCTCAAGATATAGAGATTGCTTAGGCCTGTCAAGTGGCAATAACAAACATATTTTCTTGGAAAGCTATGTACCTAGAGCCCATATTAGATAATAGTTGTATTATTAATCCAGTTTAGTGTAATTTTCCAAGTTTTTGTTGACTTCTCTGGCGTTAGCATCTCCAGAGCACATTTATATTTATTTCCTTAAGCTTATACAAATACGGGTGTTTCTAAAAATGTATAGGTTAGATTGAATGCATGAAGGCGTGACTCCTTAAAGAAGATTGAAGGGGAGGAGGGAAAAAAAACCAACCTAAATATAGGTATAGTGAGATACATAAAAATATTTAAAGCACAGAATATAAAAACAGAAT